TTTGTAGACATCATCCCTTGTTTCCTTGGTTTGTATTTTCTGTTCACCCATGGCTGCTATAATCACATCCACATCTCGCTGGGTAAACTGCAAACTTGTTTTTATCTCCTGTATTTCTCTGGTCATGTCGTCGAGTCTCTTGTTATTTGTCTCCATAAGTAGTTGCACAAAACCTTTGAAGTTGTCTTGTTGTTGGCTCAACAGTGCGGTGTACATCTGCTTCTGCTGACTCAACATCTCTGTTACTTGCGCCGCTGAAATATAATCCCCTTCTGCTTCAACATCCTTGTTCGCTTCTGATTTATTAGCTCTTTTCCCTCTTGGAGGCATTTTAATAGTTGTAGAATTTGTTCAAAGACTTGAAAATGTAGAAGATGTGAAAAATCGTAGAACAGACAAGAGGAGCAGTAAAGACGTCTGCTCTCGCTTGCAACCCGGGTTATGCAGGCTGTCAGACACATACAATTCAACAAAACAGTAGCTGCCATGTAAAAACTATCTTTTCAGCATTTTAGATTTGGTTGACAACCTTATTAAAATACCACAATAAAGAATCATTTGTTGAGGTTTGTATGTCTCTGCAGCCTTGGTCAGACAGAGTAACATTCACACTCTGACAAGCCTCTTTCTTCTGGGGACCCGACACAGTAGACTCAACAAACACCATTCAATAATGTTAGTGAAATAGCTGAGTGTGAGTGAAAGTAATGGCATTTTCTAGTTCTGAGGAAGTGACACATTGTCTTCATCTGTCCACTCACGCGGTCTGCTCTTGACGGACTGTCTTTGGGATGGTCGACCACGAAAATGTGCTGGGACTGGTTAATGTTGCAAAAGAGAAGACATGTCAGTCTTGGGAATAACACTGACTTGCATGCATGCCTTCTTGGGAGTAGGTTTTGCACACATAGGGATGTTTAAGGACACTCACACGACTCTCACAAAACATACAGAAGTAAATTTACCTGTAGAGTACACAGCAGCGCTGGTCGCAGTTGGTGAGTATCCGCCATTGGACTGTTCTGTGTGCTCATACTCAACGGATGGTCTGGGTTTGGGTGTGTATTTACGCCTTGGGCGATTCTGAGCGTCATTCACCCTGCACACAATAGAGCATCAGCTGCTACTTGACATTCATCACTTGTAATCAAATGGGAAAGAGAAAAAATGGTAAGGATGAATCATCTCTATTCACGAACATACAAGAAGCTTGTCGTCTTCCACAAACAGTCATGGTTGCTGACCTTTCTCTCACTTTTTCAGAAAGCTCCTCCAGGACCTGCGAGGCCTGTCTGTGGTACTGCAGCAGAGACTCCACAAGAGATGACAGCTGACTCACCTGCTCCACCTACATGTGCATAAAAACTATTTTAGGCTGAGACCAAACACAGAAATGGCTCTGGTCCCTCAGTGAATTCTTTCCTGGTTAACTGCATTCCCACCTGTCCTCAGTCCCCTTTGTTTATCATTATAGTATGGTCTGCCGCAAAAGCTCTGAAACACCTCGTTAGGGCAGATACAATACAGTGTGAAAACAGTAAATGCTAAACAAAACAGGTTTGACAAGCTCACATTACTGGAGGTCACTTTGTGTGTGTGTGTGTGTATGTGTGTGTGTGGGGCGGGGGCGGGGGGTTGGTCAGCTGACACATGTTGTCTATAAAGATGTTGACAAGTGTTCTGCAAGTGTGAGCAGCAGGCAACATGCACATTTCTAATTCATGAAGTCACAAAGATATACTAGCCAGAAAAATGTTAGCACATATCCTGCAGGCACATTAACAACAATTGCTGAGGTAGTTTGTCTTCCATGTTTTCATCTAGCTCTAATGTTGTTTATTCAAACATCTGCTTCAGCCTTAAAGGCTGCATCTGCAATAACTGCATCTGATTCGTCACAGTTCGTCAACATACTGAAGACAGTTTTTAACTTAACTTGTGTCTCACAGTCTTGGCAAACACAGGATATCTTGGCCACCATGAGGTTTTCACAGCTGGCCCTTAATCTTACAGCCTGAAGTACTGCTACAGCTTGGCTCCCGAGAGAAAACTAGACAGTCTTATTAAACTTTTGCCTTCTGTGAAATCTACTAATCATTCCCAGCATTTAATAAAGTTATGCAGAATTTGCACCGGCATTAATTGAATCAGATGGGAAATTTATTTGTTTAGACTCATTGCGGCACCAAAAACTCAAATTATATATATTATATAGTTGTGTCTTTAGTTTTCAATATGTACGCTGCTTTCTGTGTATGTTTCACCTTGCACAATGACAAGGACAATTTCCCTAACATTAATGCAGAGGCATGTTTCATGTATATATATGAAACAATATAAGGTAAGTAATATAACAAGGGTTATATTACTTACCTGAATATTAGTAAAAATCTTTATTAACAATCACAAGTTTACCAGCAGTTGTCAATCTACACCAGGTAAACCGATACTGTTACAAAAACAAGTCCAGCAGGTTTCAGTGGGCCTTTATCAGTGCAAAGTCAATCAAGTTTAGTCTACATGCTACTCACATCTGTTTCCAGCAGGTTGTGCATAGAGCTCTCAGCCATCTCTTTGGACTCGTGGAACTTCTCCAGGGCCTGTCTGATCTCTTCATCTTGGATTTTACCTTGACGTTTCTTTTTATAATCATAGTCCAGACGGCGGCCCTCCAGTTTCTTCAGGTGGTACTGTAGGGGAGAAAGAGTGACAATAGGGTGAAACTGTGAAAGGTCTGGGGGCATGAGGTTTCAGACTTATACTATTATATGAATATCAAAGTATTTTCACTTGTTTATGAATCTGCTATTATGCATCTGGACTGTAATAGTCTTTCAATCAAACCACTGCTGCTCATTAGTCAACGCTTGACATGTATGTGCAGAAGCATTCAACCTCTTTGATTCTACCTGAATGTCTTTGATATCCTTTTCAGCGACTGCCTGCAGTGGGTCAATAAAGTTCTGCTTCACATCAATATCCAGAGAGTCCTTGACCTCTGCCAGCCTTTTCATTGTTTCCCCTATGTCTATAAGAGCCCCACCTGCAGAAGACATACATGCATTAAACAAATCAGCTTTAGGGAGTGTGGGACACTGTGAGACATGCTAATAATAAACAATTTACTCTTTAGTAGGGAAGGCTAAAACAAGAACAATTACATGTGAATTCATGGACACCTCCTAGACAAATAATCTCACACCCACACTACCATATTCTGATCTCTACTCGCTCCATGGTTTCCCCCAACATACACAATTAGGTCCATATCTCTTCTACTCTAGTCATTCTCTAACTGACTCCACAGTGCTTACCGAAGTTGGTGTCCTCTCCCATATCCCGTCCATACTTGGTCATACACTCCCCCAGGAGGCCCTCAGGCTGGGGGTAGCCTGGACTGTTCACCTGTCCACGGATTTTGGACACAGTATTGAGCATGGACAGCTTCGCTCTTGACGTTGGGTTGGGCTGGAGGTACTCTGATGTTTTATTGAGGACTTCCAAAACAGCTTTGCTGGTAATATCAGCTCTCTGATGATACAAGTTAGTGAGAGGCATTAATTAAAAGAAAATACTGAGCTGTATGCCTTTGACACTCACTATTTATATTTGTGAAAGAAACCTGGGTAAAACTGTTCCACAGTACAACACATGAAATGTTCTTACTCAATGAATGACCTATGGGTATAATCTGCAAATGCAAGTAGTACCCTTTCAAGATCCTTGAAGTCTTCATCCAATTTGGTTCCCTCTGCACCTCCAACCTTCTCACTCATCATCTGTAACCACAAAACACACATAATAATGAAGCTGACTGAACCCAACATGTTTACTGCTCCTCATGAAGGATTACTTACACAATTACACTTTTTTTTGTGCTCTAGCTTCACAAACTTGACATCCTGTACTTGGTCAGTTTATATTGACACCATTATAAATATGTTTGTTATGCATCTTCTCTTTTCCACTTATCCAACCCCACAGCCAGACCAGATCTGATTTTCTGGAGCTGAGAGGGGATCAGAGGCTCAAAGTCACTTCCACAAGGCAGGACCCTGTTGTCAAATAGGGCTTATTAAAACCTCCACGTTGTCTGTTACCAAACTTTAATAAATATGTAACATCTTGCAGCATTTTCTTCTTTCCAGGCCTGGTTAACACATTCTCCAACTCCTCAACTCTTCATGAGGGAATGAGTTCTGCAAACTAGACTTTTGCCTCAGTCCTTAAGGAATTTTACAAAAGGGTTGTCCTTTTTTTCCATCAGTTCAATACTCGCACTGCAGTTTCCTACACCACAACCACATCCATGGATACTTACTAAACACATATGCTAACATCATTTTTGCTCTCATGCACACATGGCACATACATTCTCCATTTCTCATCCAGAGCAAAACAATCTATATAATCTATCTCTCTTGTGCACTTGTCTGGCAGGCCAAACAACTCTCAGTGTGTGTGTGTGTGTGTGTGTGTGTGCATGCTTTCGTATTTGATTCAACTCTGTGCAGCTGTCTGCATCACATTGCACACAAAACTATGACCAGATGGATCAATCTATCTCTCTAGTTTGTAGACCAGAGCGTAAGAAACACTCAGTGGCTCTGAAAATGCCCTACGCTCTTGTTGCCAACTGGTACATGGGATATAATTAACCCCACACGTTCCCTAATTAATGAGTCTAATATTCAGCACTTTAACTGCAAATAATGAATCTCTTGGCACCAGATATGAAAATGTGGCCTATTGAAGTATACAACTAATAATCCTGCTCATCCCTAGGTATGCAATATATGGACTTTTTTTATGAGGTTTTAGCAATATAGTATTTAGTCATAAATTAGTCATGACATTTGTTTCTTAAACTCCCTGAAAGCTACAGATTCATAACATTTGACACAGGAGGCAGATTTGGTAAAAGGTTGTTCTGAAGGTGAAGTATCTGTGTCTAGACTTGCTGATCAATGACAAAAAAAAAGATGCATAACATGATTTGGACTAAAACAATGGTGCACAGTGATAAAACACTATGTGCATAATGCATGCATTCTTATCAGCTTACTACTGCTACTGTTTAATCACTGATTTAATTAAGTATTTTTAAGGTGGTAACACATGAACCCTACTGGGGAACATACTTACACAGTTGATTATCTTCTTCAGTCCTGTTTTCTTGAACTGCCTGTATGGCCAGATGCAACACTAATTGGCCAGGCTCATGCTTAGAGAGCAGGATGTTCATTATAGGTCCTCTGTGTTTCCAGCAATACTGTTTGTCCTAGTAGTTAAGATGTGTAGTAGAGCTGGGCAGTACCACTGTACTGTGGTCTTTGTAACCCACCTGCACTGCTTAGGTTTTCCAAATGCCAGTATGGAATATAGTAAGATCTCTGTACATTCATTTGTGTGTGTGCTTTTTGTTTGTTTGTTTGTTTTGTATTGTCAACATACTAATCAGATGTGTTCACTGGTTTACTGAAGAACTAGAAGCTGGTTTGGGCAGAGTATTCACATAAGTAGAATTCCTTACCCATGATACACACCCACTGAGCAAGGAACTGTCACATATCACAAAAGTCAGAGAAAGGACCAGTGTAAACCCACAGGCCATGTCTAGCTGAACTTTTCACTGCCTAAAAAGTCAACAGTGCTATTTCAAGACTATCATTTGAAAATTGGAAGCACAAAACAAATCTGCCTGAAGAAATCCAACAATGCTGACATGACAATTTAGTGACATTGCATCAAGTCACTGGCGTTTGTTTTGCATGCATGATGCATTTATCACACAAAGTATAGCAAGAAACTTACATACTATACATTCTTAAGACACGTGTTCTGTAAACTATAATGCAAAAGGTTAGAGATAATCAACATGCGCGTCACTTAAGCAAGAAGGTGTTAGCAAACAGCTGAGTGACTAATGAGGAAAACACGCCATCAGATTACCTACTTGGCGTGAGATACACAACAGTTAAAGTTACATACACATATTATGGAAGCAAAGAGTAATAGCTAACCTGACTGTTAGATCAAATTTAACTGAAACGTCAATGACTTTAACTTCCTGATTAACTCTACACTGACGTTAGCTAATTTAATCTGAAGTTGATTTAACGCTATGCCTACCTGTGAGCGACAACACTCAGCTGTTGGGTTTATTAAAGATATAACTAGCAGTATATTATAAACAAGGTGAACATATAACGTTCTAACATTAACCAAGAACCAATGTTTTATCGTTACAACATTTTCCACTTAAAGCTAGCGCAATTAAGAACAAGAATGTTAGCCAGTTAGCTAAGCAGCTAATTTCAAAGAAGTTTACCTGCGTTGCTTTGTAAATTTGCTTCTTAAGCCCTGCGACCGACATTTTGTGCCTTCAGTGTTGTCTTCTGGACCTCGACGGGAGAAATGTCTTTTAAAATAGCCGATGTTAAGTTTGTAGTTTACAGCATAAACATCAGTCGACCTACTCGTCCTCAAACTTTACTCCGTAGATGTAAAACTTGCTAGGCAACCGCAGTTTCCTGGCTCAGCTTCATGTGGGAGGAGGCCCCGTCCTGGTGGACAAAGTGGGTCAAAACACACACACACGTTTGTATTGCCAGTGTTTGTGAGGACATCCACGCACAAATCATGCATCCAAACATCCTTCTTTCTCTGCAGACTGACACAATGAATAGCTCTCTAATCACTTTGGCTTTATCTCAGCCAGACATCTAACAGTCCTGCAATAAATTGTCCCTTCGTGTAGGCGATAGGCTACTGTTCAATTTTTTGTTTTACTGCAGCCCTGTTAAATTAGACTGCATTAGTGTTTGCCAGGTGCACTTCCTTTTGGTTGACAGTAAACAAATACTGTTTGAGAACTCTCCAAAAAGGCTTTTAAATAGACCATAGGTTAAGGTCAAATTCTATGGTGAAGAAGGAACTTCCAGGATCATGTTAATAAAAATATAATGTATGATAGATAACAGTGAAAAGCAGCAAATGCTCATACTGGAGAAGCTAAATCCATAAAATGGTTAGTTTGTGTTTGCTGATAAATGACTTAATTGATTATTAAAATTACTGCCAATTACGTTTTTGTCAATAGGTCGTTGCAGTTCTAAGTTAAAGGCATGAAAGAAATACAATATGCACAGTATTACATGAGATCAGTGATTTTAGTCTGTCTGATTAGTCAACACTATGCAAAAATCCATTATCATGTACTATATAATCAACATGAAAACAATATTCAGGTTCAAAGAAGAGACAATGAACTACTTCAAAAAAAAAAAAAAAAAAAAACCATTTATTACATTTTTAAAACCACATATAATGAATCCCATTGG